TGCAGCGAAAATAGACATCTATATGCGTGCCACCACTTTATGTTTGCATTTTCCCTAGCCCGCGGCAAGTGAAGGCATACGAACGTGACTCCACAACTGTAATGTCTCAGCAATTTCAATAAAACAAATTATGATCGGTGATAAACACTCGGTGATCTCAACGGATACACTAGTCAGTAAAACCGACGCATGTAGCATACGAAATTAAAATCTGTGTAATAATAATCGGTGTGAATTACTATTTTTCTCTTATATTTAATTAATGATATATAATTTCTTATTATTATTATAATATTATTAATATATTATTATTCTTTATTGCATGTAATTTAGATACAAATACATGTACAGTACAGGCCTATTATATCAGATCATGTGTAATTTTGGATCAATGACTGCTTGTTTGGGACCCCCGCAATGGGCTGCATAATGTTTCGCTGCGGAAGTAGGTTGGACATTAAAAAGATTGTCAATTGTTGTAGGCCCCTACTTGTAAGTTGTAGGCAACATATATATATATGGAACTTGGAAATGCCTAAGAGATCAAAGTTTGTTTTAAAATGTTAGCTTTTTAAATAAAAACATCAAAATATTTGATACTTTTTCTGACCAACATTGATAAAGGAAATGCGTAGCAATGAACTATAATTTTAGGAAAGTTATTATGATTGTACTTTTTAATAGGCTTATGACATCACTCATTACTGTTGCTGTTTTATAGAAACTGTTGTGATGTTATAGTTACCTCACGTTTGGGTAGAACTACTCGAGTTTTGCATCACATTCACATGTGTGATAAGTACTGCTTATTTCTTGGCATATGTCATGGCCACTATTGCCTCGGGAACGTACTAATTTCATATTATATTTTTTTCCAGTTGATACCACTGTTTGTATGTTTGGGATTTGGAGTCGCATTGTCTGGTGTATACCTGGCACGATTAGCAGTAAAAAGTCCGGAAGTTTCGTGAGTTCCAGTACCCAGGATAATTGTAACAGCAGCATTATGTTTGTGTGTTTTTTTCTGCTAGTTGCATGTTACTACACCATGGTAGCATTCTTCGTGCACGATAGACTAACTTGGTTGGAATTATTTTCAGGCATGGAGCTGCATTCCTAGACTGCTGTCGACTAAATAATCTTAATTTTTAAGTGCAATGTGAATTGTGAATGTATTATATAGAGTTTCAATCAAATTTTACCCTAGTGTTCATCCAAAAATAGACTGGGGATTTTTAATAAATACAAATTCTATAAAAGCCTTATGAATTATGAAATCATTAAAGATGTTGTCAAATACAGGTACATAACGAATGCATAGCATTTTGAATATTTGTGAAAAACATTTTAAGTATCCAGCATAAATGCCCCCAATAGTTTATTTGTGAACTATGATCCTGCAAGATCAAATCAAATATCTTAAAAAATTGTATCAGTTTCTCCACCAACAATTACATTTCACAAGGCTTACTGATGAAAGCGCTGAACTGGACAGTAGCACAGAATATAGCCATTTTCTTTTTGGATGAATTCATTAGATAACTTTTAATAAGGCTACTATTTTCCACTATTTTTGACTATACTAGTAGTAGTGTGTCCCTATAATAGATACTAGATACAGCATGTATTAGTGAGTGACTGTTATTATGTTTGATGCTTGTCTTGCAAGTTGCATATTGTAGTCATGCACATTTGTTATATAGTGATTTGAAGTATTGACTATTATTAGATGGTAAAGGACATTTTAGATCTATTTTGTAATCTTCTAACAAGAAATATTTTAATGGCACTAGCTCTGTACTGTGTAATGGAGCGACATGCGTAGCTAAATTCTGTCCAGTTGCTAATATGGCCATGTCATAGTGAGTCTTCGGTGGACTGCAACTATTGTATAGGTAACACATTTGATTTCATCAATGTGTTATACTCAACTTATAGCTATATAATAGTATAAATACTATAATCCAGGTTAGAAAATTCATGGATTTTTCATGGATGTTAGAATATTTATAAATAGGCCACTATTTATGACATTTACACATTTTAAAGTTGAATATATGAATTATCACTAACGCAGATGTCAACCTACATGACATGTAGCTACACCTACAAGTTTCATACATAAAAAATCCATGAAGTCTATTTTGAATGTCCTTCCCTTTTCTGCCTTTCCTGCCAGTTAATCCCGTTGTTTATCTGCACTGGAATCGGTGTCGGCTGGGCTGCATTCTACGTCTTCCGCCTTGCCACCCGCCCTGACATCAGGTCTGTTCCTTTCACTTCTCCATTATCCTCGTTTAGTTCCTGCCTTCGTTAAGAAATCGCTGGTGCATACAGCTGAGTCGGTGATTCTCGTACCTGGTAAGGTTAATGATGTAGAATTTATGCATCTATGCTAATCCCTGTTCCGTTCCTTTACTTCCTAATGTGATGAGTTATAAAAAATTTATATTGATATTTTATGGCTGAGTAATTACATGGTTTGGATTTGGTTTTAATTTGAGATGTTTATCTACCACGCATGGCTTAATGTTTTCTAACATTTCAAAATATAATTTCCAAAAACTTGTTAGTTGTTACAATGCATGCCAAAAACATTACAACATATAAAATCCCTTCCTCCTCTTGTTTCCATTTGCATGATTCAAATATGTAAAATATAGGCACTAGTAGCACGTTATGCTTTACTTACTTGGTTTTCTGGTTACTTGTTTTGAATAGTGCCTCAAGCATGTGAATGCAAGTTTCAGGGTTCTGTTATATTTGTTATTATAAATATATATTAACATTAGTTTGCACGAATTAATTTGACTGGTTTGGAATGAATACTAATCAATTTTTCACGTTGTATTGTAGTTGATGCCTCTTTTTGCTAGTGTTGGATTTGGCTGTATATTGGCTGGTGCTTATCTATACAGGCTAGCTGTTAAAAGCCCAGAAGTAAGGTAGGTAGTAGTTTATAGATGTAGCTGCATGCCAGCCTGCCTGGCAGACATTGATTTTTGGAGTAGTGCACATTTGTTTTGGCACAGGTTCATTTACAGTGTGGCAAATAGTTGCGGTAAGTTTGTAGTTAATCAATGCTTGAAAGGTAGGAGGAAGTTTTGTTATGTCATACCCTTCATTGTTTTGATAGTTTACTTACAGATAGTCAATCCTGTGTTAGCGGTTATAGCAGTCATTAAAATTCCCTTGCCATAACTGCCATGTTAAAAGCCCTGTACAGAGCAGCTACCTCTTCAATTTATACAATGGATTTGTATCCTTCTGTCTAGTGGGTTCCAAATGTACGTAACAGCCAACTTTCTCTCTATGCGATCATACGCTAATCATACTAGATCAGTCACTAAGGTAACCCATCTATAACCGCCACGTTTTGTGAGAATACTAAGACTTCCAATACATTGTATAATTGCTGTGGTCTTGATTGAGGAAAAAATTCACATCCCTTGTGATTATGTGCTCTATTCTTTCGTGTGCACTCTACCTATCACATCAGCTGTTGGAATCTGTTTTGTGTCGTCTGTACTAGTGAGTGTTGTGATTTGCTGCACATCCCAAATTAGTCTCTGGCCATGCAGTTATAGCTGTTAATGTGTACCCAGTCTAAGTCTTTTGGCTGCCAACTTTGGGTCTCCATTGTTTCTGAAATTGTCCTCATTTAGCCTTATATTTAGGTAATGTTGACAGCTATATAAACTAAAGGTGTACATCATTGAATGCTCAAGGTGGTACAGTAGTAGTAGTAGTAGTAGTAGTAGCAGTAGTAGTAGTAGTAGTAGTAGTAGTAGTAGTAGTAGTAGTAGTAGTAGTAGTAGTAGTACTATTAGTAATAAATAGTAGTTAGTAGTAGTAGTAGCAAATGGTAGCAGTAATAGTAGTCGTAGCAATCGAAACAATAGCAGAAATGTTAATTACATTACAAATACTAACTACTACATGCACATACGTACGTACACATGCAGTAACACGCACGCACGCACACACACTCATGTATTGATACCACAAAACCACACGTACTAGCATCTTATTCTTATTACCTACGTGCAACGGAATTGCAGGGAGGTAATGTGATGCCTCTCGTGTGATGTGTTCATGTGTGTGTTCGTGTGTGTGTGTAGCCAGCAGCGAGCCAGCAGCGATCGATTCAGCACCAGCTCGCCTTGGGGCGTCGAGTCAGTAGCAGCTCGCTCGCTTGCGCGCAACAATCAGTATTTCAGCGATTCTACTACTACAAGCTAGAACTACTAGAAACTGCAACTAAAACTTAAACTAGAGTCAGAGAGCGGGCGGCGCGATCGATAGCGCGGCGAGTCAGCGAGTGGCAAGTCAGCAGCAGCCACCAGTGAGCGGCGAGGCAGCAGCAGGCGAGTCAGTCAGCAGCCGCCATCAGCGAGCACATACATGTTACATGCTGGCGGAGGTATGCACTCGCCGTGAGTGCCCTCTGTCTAGTTAGTTATAGTTTTGCACTAGCCACTCATTTACCTCATTCTTAATAATTGGCTTTACAGTTAGATCTTAATTGGTTTCGATATTCACAGGGGTTATTTACATGTCGTTAATGGTACGTAGGTTTATGATTGCAGGACTACCACGTATTTTTTTATGCATTTTACGTTGTTTTTTTTCGAAATTTTAGAATTGGTTATACCTGTTCAAAGTCATGTTATTTTATCAATATCATATCATATATGTTATCATATCCTATCATATCATATTATATTTATAGTTTATATACATGGAATCTTCTCATATGTTATAAATCAAGTGTTTATTTGTCGTATCGTGCAAGCTGGTTACATAGGTGTGCAAGTCAGTTCTGTTGTGAGTCAGGTGTTGGGTGTTTCTAAAGCTGGGGGCACGAGCGTATTTTATCGCCCGATCGCGGCGATTAAAATCGCCAGCGAATTTATACGCCCGATCACGAAGGGGCACACGTAGCGAATTTGAGAGCGTACGCGTACGCCACTCGACGGAATCACATGATCACATGATGCATCACATGATATCAACAACACGTCCGATTGGTTTAAAAAAATCGAACGCTCGACAAAATACGCCGGACACGGGCACACGAGCGAATTTGCCAGTAAATAATCGCCGGCGTAAATAATCGGCCGAAAATATCTAACATTTTGACGGGCGATTAAAATCGGCGTCGACGTGAACGGGCACACGGGCGAATTTTTCGAGCGATTTTAAAATTCGCCGCGATCGGGCGATAAAATACGCTCGTGTGCCCCTACCATTATGTGTCTAGGACTAGGTCCACATGATCTCCATATTCTGTAGATCATCAATGCCTCAAGATGTGGTCCGGGGACTCATAGTCATACATATGTCATATGCAGCTTCGATAATGTATTGCTTGTGAGCTTGCTTGGCTAGTTTTTGTCAGGTGGTGCCACTGTATAAGTTTTTTCTGCTTACTTGTCAACAACTTGGTCTATTTTACGCATCCGTATCTTTGTATGGTTGTGTCAATTTTTGGATCCTGGACTAGGTGTTAGTGTGTAGGTGTTGGTGTAAGGTGATGGTGATTTGTTTATTGACTATAGTTGAACAATCGTTTCTTCGAATTGGTCATAACTGCGTGGGTGCGACATTGGTGAAAGGTTGTGTGCTTTCATTGTGTTCTAGGGTTACGAGCAGTTGGCAACAGTCTTGCGGCGACAAATGATTGCATCCAAATACCTTCGCGACTCTCACCTCCCTCTCAAACTAAGAACGTCATGCTTTTAAATTTAACCCATCGTACTACACTTTGCGCACATCTAGTGTTGCGTATCTTTCCGGATGCACATTTGTAACTGGCAAGATGGTTGTTCTATATTGCAGCTAGTCGTTTTACACGCATGTCTCTTAGGGGGCGTCTGTCTAGCGGGTGGCTATCTGATTCGACTTGCTGTAAAATCACCTGAAGTCAGGTAAGCGTTTGTCGTCATACGTATGTGTGCAGAGGAGGTACACGCGTAAAAATGCATTAACACACGAGAAATATATTGTCCCCGTATAGCATATGCTGTTAGTAATCCATAAAGCAAGTGGAAATGTCTAAATATGGGCATTTGAAGGAAGGTAGGTTAATTTTTAATGGGACATCAACACAATTTAATGATTAGGAAATGCTACATATATATATATATATATAATATGTTTGCTAATCGATACATGACCGATTTAGTTTTCCGTGTAGTAAAGTAGTAGTGTTCTTTTAACAATTGATTTGCCTTGGCTAACATTTGCATCGTGTTATAACTTATAGATTATTGCTGTGTAGTAAATTCCAGTTCGCTGTAATTTTCATATGCTGTTCAATATTGTATGTATTAATTGTGTGATGTAACTATTCAATGCTATATATAATACTTGCTACAAATCCCATTTTTAGAACACGGCAAACGTTAATGTAACTATGTTTTAGGCTATAAAAGAGGTAAACGAAAATTATTAAAAAACTATACGATGCTATATTTTAATTTTGATCATAATGACTTATGTATGTCCTGCACATTTCTACAGCTGGGACAGGAAGAATAACCCATACCCTTGGGAGAAGATTAATGCCAGATATCAGTACAAGGTATAATTAAGCTACCTCTAACTCTGCTAGAGATTTGTAAAGTCTTACCAACTAAAAATGGATTCTCAAAGTCAAAGATATTTCCTATATACCTGCATATAGTGTTTGCAACAGAACTGCGGATGTCACTTACACTTACTCCAACACTAGAGTACGATGGCGTTATCAGCTGATAGGGAATGGTTTCTGACCGCAGTTTGGAAATACCATTTTGTTGGTCCACAGAAAGTAACATTTCTAATAAATCTTCGAATTTCCCCATGAATAATTTCTCATATTTCCCAATGGTTTAATCATTCACCTACTACCCTTTCATGATGGCAAGTGGCTGTATGCCTAAAAATAGATGTAATAATTGTAAATAAAAATTGAATGATGTATGAGAGTTTTGTAAGCACCCACCCGCGCTAGCATAGTAGCAAGCCAGCATGATTTCTGTTAAATGCTGACTAATAATAATACATTTGTGTGCTTCACCCAGTTCTTCAAGACTCGCGAATACGAGAAGGAGGAGAACCCGCGTCCAGAGTACTAAGATGGAGGAGGAGAACCCGCGTCCAGAGTACTAAGATGGAGGAGGAGAACCCGCGTCCAGAGTACTAAGATGGTTGCTAACGGTCACACCAGTGTCAAGTCCTGACGTCTTATCACAATGTTACAACGGACGCACAAATTGTATAGTAAAGCGTCTGTTCAACCCTTTCTTAACCCGCATGGCAGTAGTGTTGACGATTTGCACTCTGCAACCTCTAACGAGCAACGCTGCAAACGTTCGCTTGTTGTTCACGTCTCGTTTGGAAATTTACAGAAGTTTTTTTAGCAGATTGTCATGTGTAATAATTCTGTGCTGCTGTTGTGATATAAAATGTTTAGTGTAAACTAGATCTATATAATCAATTCTCATAGTTCTCGTGAACTTATGAAGTGATTTAGAAATTTCTACTGTTTAATTTGTTGCTATGCATAGCTAATGCATGTATACTGTAGCAGGCACAAGTACATTTACTGCAATGGGCAAATTGCGTTTTAAGATCTATGCAGAAGGGCAGTGTATGTACCTGTATGTACTCTTGCATGTATACTTTAATTTTACGGGTGAAAACCCCTGGATGACTTAATAGTCAGTCATTCACTGTAGATGTTTTTTAGCCTTTGGAAGAAGTTTGATTAAATGGGGGGTTTTGAATATTATATTATTTACGTAGTTGTACAAGCACTAAACATTTCAAACTGGTGTAGAATATAATGATATGGGAGTGTTAAAACAAGTTTTTCTATTGTAGTTTTCATGGTGTTTGAGTGTGCTTTTTGTAATTTAGCATTTTCCTGACAGGCTATTGCAATATTAGTACACATTGTTTTGCTCTATATTTAGTTGTTTCCAAAAGGTCAAAAATAGTGCAAACCTCCAGCAAAAAGAGCCGTCTTGAGCTAGATCAATTCACAACACAGCATTGGGTTCTTGGCAGGAATTTCAGAAGGCACGGCGGAATTCACAAAGGAAATTCTTTGCATGATGATGAATATATGCTTTAAATAGGAAGACAAATGCATCACAAACGTGTCAACGAGATTGATCATCAGTGTTGCTCACCTCTTACATTATATATAAGTTTTGTACGATAAATCGCAAATCACACTCATGCAGTATGATGCTTTTCTTATGCAAATACTAGGCAAAATAATAATGCACGGAAATCATTCTACAAACGAAACAGTATTTCTAGAAACAATACGACTTAAATTTACTATATTTTTAAAGAAACTAGAACATCTTGGTAATGAAACAGTAATGATAGAACCAGCAATCTAACGATTCTAAGCGAACTTTGTACAGTAATTTCATTAGGTGAGTACTATAGAAACATACTTTACAAATGACACCTGACAGGCAGAAACTACACTAAATACTGCAAAGAGGTTGTAACATGCAGACATTCCTAAACCTGCATTTTGCATGGCCATATAATTGTTTTCTTGCAATATAATATAATCTTTGATAAGCATTTCATCAGGCGTGAATAAAAACAAACACCCGATTTCATCTTGCTCGGTATAGTGGAACACGAGTAAAACAGTATTGCGCTAGCAATAAAAGCAGACTATTATATTGAGCATCTAATAATTCAAACAGGTAAGTGGTAATTTAATTGTAGTTCAAATTGATCAATATAATCGAACGTGAGACCACGCGAGACTATCTGATACCGTCCATGTAAATCAAACGGAAAATCAATTCACCCACATAGTGGAAACGTCTGTTTCTTAGTACTGCAACGTCTTAGCGCCAATTTTTTTCCGCATACTACAAAAATTCAAACGAATAACGACTAGCAAAATAAGGCTCTGCTGCGGGTCATCATAAAAAAAAACTGCTATATGTACAGCTGCCGCTAGCACACGAAAACGGAGTCGGCCGCCTGTGCATCCCATCTGCACAAGTTTTTCCTTGACCTATTTTGAAAATATTATTGTGTGATACAGTACCACGCGCTCACGTAAGCATATCTCCGTCCACCATAAATCTAATCTTTTACGTATATTTTCTACCCTATTACCTGACACCCAGCATCATTGGTTAGACGTGCAGAAGTTTTATATATACAGCAATATTACGACTAGTCGACTATACATTCGTGACATCCGTCGGCCAAAGAAAGTTATACGCCAAAAAGAAAAGGAGGTTGGTAAATAACGCAGGAAAAACAATAAATCAGTCCAACCAACCTGTAGGGTCACTTCTTTACACATTTACATGTCAGCCAGACACGGACTACAAAAAAAACGTTAGGATATAAATATTGAAGAAAATTAGTAAAAAAAGACAAGAAAAAGTGAGAAGCAGAGAAAGAGGGGTTAGTATAAGTAAGGTACAGTGGAAAGGGTTGCGATCTGTGTAACGATTGAGAAGCCAAAGTTTGCAATAATGAGTTTTAGATTAATTGTTCTGCAGTCTTTTTTCAATTCCGACATAGCAGAGAAATTTCACTAATCAGTGAAAACATTTTTCCAGTTTACCAATAACCAAGTAACAGGGATGCAAATGAATCTACAAGCTCGAGTGACATTGCCAGTTCACAGTTAAATTGCAACTGTGCAGAGGGTCAAACACTACAAACGACCACGTACCAACATCAGCACGAAATGTAAGTTGGCCCCATTTATCTAATACTATCTGCACACATTACACTAGCGTTTATCTTTGTAGGTTTGCTTTATCTCCTTATATCAAGCTCTATGAACTAGTAAGCGTTTCCTGCTCGTTTACTTGTCAGCGAAGCTACGTACGTCATCTGACCAAAATAGAAAAGCTCAGCTTTCGTAATTCTTTGATTCTAATTTGAGCTTTTGCCTCTCACAAACCCGTAACCTTCATCGTTGGAGGCCGGAAAGGGCAAATAAAAGGCAGTAAGTAAGTTCGTTAGTTCCGCCTTTATCATCCAGGGGCCCTGTGTCGGAAACAAAATTAGTCTTACCTAGGGATGAAGTGTGGCATAGATGTGCTCTGAAATTCGTGAACTCGGGGCAACACAGAGCAGCAGAGCTCTTAGCAAGGCTAGATTTAGAATGCCTGGGGTCATCTAACGGTCAGAGCTATTCAGATACACAGAGATACTACAGCCTGCACCCAACTGCCTCAGATATGATAATAAAATTAATAAGCCAACGTTCCATTACGCCTTTTACAGGTAAAGTACAATTAGGTAAATTCATTACAAAAACTCTATAATGGCCCTACACTTTTTATTCTTAAAACCATTCAACTACTTTAAGAAACCTGCCACGTAAGAGTTACGGAATAGAGTTCAAGGTGACGTGGGGCCATTTATATTGACATCGTGATTGCTACGCCATTTTGATATTCACTGAGAGCTGTTTCTATCATTCAACATGCTTCATCCGATAACAACAGGAGCTAAGGAAAGGGGGGGGGGACGTGAACTTCCTTAGAAGTTCCTTAGTAGACGAGAGTAGCTTTTAGTAGACTAAAGGAGAAAAAGGAGAAAGTCAAAAGGGTGAGAAGAAGTGAATCAGGAAACATTTACAATGGGGGAATTCACTATAGAAAAGTCACTACCCACAGCATACAGACAGCTTACAGTAGATCCAGTAAACAAGAAGCAATATAAACAAGTATGGCATAGTGACATGTTAGCATTCAGTGTACTACACTTACCGCCATATCTACACTATCATACTATATCAGTCTATTAGACTAGCTTCATGCTTTCACACCACACCAACAGTGACAGTGTTTTACATGCAGTTGTGCATACATGACTAATGTCAACGCGAGAGGGTAGTTTATACTCCTCTCATATATTAATGAAATGTATTCTCTTTTGTTAATGTTTATCAAAAAACCGCGTGCACGTGCCCTCTTAGTGATAGAGAGAGGGTAGACACGTAACACATTTACTGTCTAGTAGAGTAAAATTGACGATATATAGCCTAAATACATATAATTTCATTTATCTTCTCGCTTTGCAGTTTAGCCTGCTCCTCTGTTCCCGCAGATAGTCTAATACAGTCGCACCTGCCCAACCTTTGCAACCATCCATCAATACATCACAGCCATGTTGCTCTTATCTTGAAACCCTTTAAAAGAGGCCTAACTGCAACCCGAATAGTCGTAGCAAAACCGACAGCTACGACAGCACCAAAGGTAGGCCCACTTACTCGCTCTGTCACTATCTCACTTTCTTCTTCAACATTGTGCACAAGTGTTGGTCTGTTGGCTCGTCCATCAGAACACTGTTAAGTCGGCGTCGGAATGCGATTCAGAGCACTGCTCCGAATCCCAAAGTAGGCTCTGACGCGTTGTCGACTAGAAATCCCACGTCTCGATCTCCAAATTCTCCATTGTCTCTGTGACTGCATCGACCTCAGGCTCACCTGACATGTCTGAAAGCATTTTTAAATGAGTAAGGTCGAAATAACACGACTAAAAGCTGGGTGCGTCAAACAGGAACTTTTTTCATAATTATACCATTTTATATCATTATATATACCTCGTAAACTAGTGATGGGCGTATGGCAGTTTCTCTATATATCAGTTGTGTTTGAACTAGCAAATGCAGAAATGCCATATTCTAAGCTTACCATTTGGAAATGGGTCTGCATCCTTGAGAGGTTTAACTGGTGACAAGAGAACTGGCAATCCCACTGGTAGTTTTCGAACTTGTTTTATAAATGCATGATGAAACAACTGAGCTGCAGTTGGCCTGTAATAAAATCAACCAATCTATTCATGATTTGTGAAGATTGAAGAATACACAAGTGTACAATGGTAACAAACCATAAGTGACATATAAATCACCTCTAATATTATAAAAGGTTAATATAATACATCAAATAACTGCATATATGATGTTATCAGGAGTGAATAATAGAGAGGAATATGACAAGCTCGAAACACAAGAAATTCAACATTTCCATCCCCACATTTACCTACGATTGATTACGTGAAATCCATAAAAATTACATCAGAACTAGCGCTGAATATCCAACTTGTCCTCACACTTTACTGTGTATTGATACCTCTTCTTATTATGTAGTTTTAGCTTCGAACATCAGACGTGGTTTCACTAATAAATACCGCTAAGTGTCGATCATTCGCAACCTGTAAGCTAACAAGAGGCAGCTTTCATATCTGTTGGCGGGGTTCGGCAGGTATTACTATATATATCAGTGTATTTGCGACCCCTGCATGACCGCGGCAACGGCGAGTGGCGGAAGCGGATAGTTTTTGTGAAAGCAAGTCGATATACAGTGACACAACTCTAGTGGAAGTGTAATAAACGGGTGTTTTTTGTGAATGTGCCGCGATCATATTAGTTTCAGTTTTTACCGACTCTGTCCCAAGTGCCTGTGGCGGGCACTGCCACTGACATGCTCAGCGTAACTGTGGTCTATGACTATTTCTTTTCTTTTCTCAGCCAGCCTTGGCGACCGTATCGGTGTTGTTACCTCCACCAAGGAGGTTATGTTTTCGCCCCTGTTAGTTTGATTGTTGGTTTGATGGTTTGTTTGTTGGTTTGTCTGTCAACAGGATATCTCAAAAAGTTCTGAAATCTGTATCTGTACTAGCCGTGCCGTGGGTTAGATCCAGCGTTCGGAGCTGGTTGCGAGTTGCAAATCCCCACCGAACCCCAGCAACAGGCATCTCAGAGAAAGCTGCCTCTTGTTGGCATTACACGTTGCGAATGATCGACACTTAGCGGTATTTATTAGAGAAACCACGTCTGATGTTCGAAGCCATAACTACATAATAAGAGTTATCGATACACAGTAAAGTGTGAGGCCAAGTTGGATGTTCAGCGCTAGTTCTGATGTCATTTTTATTGGATTTCACGTAATCAACCATAGGTAAATATGGGCATGGAAATGTTGAATTTCTTGTGTTTCGAGCCTGTCATACCCCTCTCTATTATTCACTCCTGATGTTATACTTTCAATGTACAATTCATTATAATAAAATAAAATGTTTGAATATAAAAATTTGCTAGCACGTTTATTTACGCATAAATCATAAGAATAAAATTAACTAAAAAATAAAAAAAGGTATGTGAATGCCAATAACATGTAAATGATTATAAGTGGAAGATTAGAGTTAAAAAATAACTTAAACCAAGTAACGAAATATTGTCTGAAGAATCAGAATCGAAAAATCTAGTACTCAACATGGATACCATACAAAGACAGTCAAGTTCCTGTGGTATGGTCGAGTTTGTTGATACTCTACCTTAATGATGGGTTTCTATGAAGGCAGGCTTCAACAAACTGGTGAAACATGCACGAAAACGTCCTTTTATAAGCAGCCTGATCAGAAGACAGCGAGTCGAACGAGCCTTTATCAGCTCCTGATGGACCAGCATCATTTTCTGCTGCCAACAAATATGACTTTAATAATCCCAGAACACTTATATATCTAAACTCACGCACGCACACATGCATGCATGCAGAAACTGATAGATTAAAGGCCTATTTAACTAGTGATGGGCGTATGGCAGTTTCTCTATAATTATATCAGTTGTGTTTGAACTAGCAAATGCAGAAATGCCATATTCTAAGCTTACCATTTGGAAATGGGTCTGCATCCTTGAGAGGTTTAACTGGTGACAAGAGAACTGGCAATCCCACTGGTAGTTTTCGAACTTGTTTTATAAATGCATGATGAAACAACTGAGCTGCAGTTGGCCTGTAATAAAATCAACCAATCTATTCATCATTTGTGAAGATTGAAGAATACACAAGTGTACAATGGTAACAAACCATAAGTGACATATAAATCACCTCTAATATTATAAAAGGTTAATATAATACATCAAATAACTGCATATATGACGTTATCAGGAGTGAATAATAGAGAGGAGTATGACAAGCTCGAAACACAAGAAATTCAACATTTCCATCCCCACATTTACCTATGATTGATTACGTGAAAACCATAAAAATTACATCAGAACTAGCGCTGAATATCCAACTTGTCCTCACACTTTACTGTGTATCGATACCTCTTCTTATTATGTAGTTTTAGCTTCGAACGTCAGACGTGGTTTCACTAATAAATACCGCTAAGTGTCGATCATTCGCAACCTGTAAGCTAACAAGAGGCAGCTTTCATATCTGTTGGCGGGGTTCGGCGGGTATTACTATATATATCAGTGTATTAGCGACCCCCGCACACCCGCAGCAACGGCGAGTGGCGGAAGCGGCTAGTTTTTGTGAAAGCAAGTCGATATACAGTGACACAACTCTAGTGGAAGTGTAATAAACGGGTGTTTTTTGTGAATGTGCCGCGATCATATTAGTTTCAGTTTTTACCGACTCTGTCCCAAGTGCCTGTGACGGGCACTGCCACTGGCATGCTCAGCGCAACTGTGGTCTATGACTATTTCTTTTCTTTTCTCAGCCAGCCTTGGCGACCGTATCGGTGTTGTTACCTCCACCAAGGAGGTTATGTTTTCGCCCCTGTTAGTTTGATTGTTGGTTTGATGGTTTGTTTGTTGGTTTGTCTGTCAACAGGATATCTCAAAAAGTTCTGAAATCTGTATCTGTACTAGCCGTGCCGTGGGTTAGATCCAGCGTTCGGAGCTGGTTGCTAGTTGCAAATCCCCACCGAACCCCGGCAACAGGCATCTCAGAGAAAGCTGCCTCTTGTTGGCATTACACGTTGCGAATGATCGACACTTAGCGGTATTTATTAGTGAAACCACGTCTGATGTTCGAAGCCATAACTACATAATAAGAGTTATCGATACACAGTAAAGTGTGAGGCTAAGTTGGATGTTCAGCGCTAGTTCTGATGTCATTTTTATTGGATTTCACGTAATCAATCATAGGTAAATATGGGCATGGAAATGTTGAATTTCTTGTGTTTCGAGCCTGTCACACCCCTCTCTATTATTCACTCCTGATGTTATACTTTCAATGTACAATTCATTATAATAAAATAAAATGTTTGAATATAAAAATTTGCTAGCACATGTATATTTATGCATTAATCATAAGAATAAAATTAACTAGAAAATAAAAAAAGGTATGTGAATGCCAATAACATGTAAATGATTATAAGTGGAAGATTAGAGTTAAAAATAACTTAAACCAAGTAACGAAATATCGTCTGAAGAACCAGAATCGAAAAAATCTAGTACTCAACATGGCTACCATACAAAGACAATCAAGTTCCTGTGGTATGGTCGAGTTTGTTGATACTCTACCTTAATGATGGGTTTCTATGAAGGCAGGCTTCAACAAACTGGTGAAACATGCACGAAAACGTCCTTTTATAAGCAGCCTGATCAGAAGACAGCGAGTCGAACGAGCCTTTATCAGCTCCTGACGGACCAGCATCATTTTCTGCTGCCAACAAATATGACTTTAATAATCCCAGAACACTTATATATCTAAACTCACGCACGCACACATGCATGCATGCAGAAACTGATAGATTAAAGGCCTATTTACACAATGCGTCCTAGACGTACGTATAGGACGTACGTGCAAAACGCGCCGTGTATGACAATGCAAATGTATGACCCTTGCGATATCGGATGCACAAGACGGATGTTCTAATTTCTTCCGACATTGCGTTTGCATTGTCATACACGGTGTACGTCCTAGACGTACGTCTAGGACGCATCGTGTAAATAGTCCTTAACACAACCCAGCTGCACAAGAGTAAAAATATTTTTTACCATAAGTATGTAGGTAGGTGGACAGGTGTTTCAGAAAATGAGTTTTCCTCCTAATATTATAAAGAAATTTTATAATCTTCCTCCTAATATTATAAAGAAATTTTATTAACTTAATCTGAAATTTACCTAGATTGGGAATTGAGTCAGCCTCTACAGCCTGCTCTTTATCCTGTAACATGCTTGCATCAACTGTCGTTGAGTCGAGCAGTCGTGGCATTGTGCCATTAGACTTCTCTAGAAGCATCTGAAATTTAATTATACATATTTTATGTGACCAACTCCTGCAAATAAAATTGTACATGAAATGCGCCACAATTCACTCGTTCGTGCCGTCTTGAAAGATCTCTCTATCATACATTTAAATAGAATAAACGGATTACCTATAGAAAACCATATGTTGAGACAAATCTTTTATTAAACAGCCTGTTGAGTCAGATGTATAACGAGTTTTATGTGTGATCGGTCAAAGATCTGTTATTACAGTTCACTAGATGTACCTGGGAAGGAGCCATGTCTTGAAATGGTACACAACCATTGCCCATTTCACAAGCAGTAATTCCAAGACTGTACATGTCAGACTTTGGTCCATAGCCTTCCAAATTCTATTAATGTACGTTCAAATAGAAATATACACATTATGATGAAACCAACAGATACTAGAATAATTGATATAAATGCATCCAGAGATGATGCAAAATTCTAGATGTGAACATGAAGACTAAATGTGTTAAAACACTAATTACAGTTCAAAGAACAGTAGGAAATTTTTACAGAGTGCTTATGCCTTTTTACCACATGGGCAAAATGCATTTATGTTTATAACACACCACCCTGTGATGCAAATCATACAAACGTACAATTTTAAATTGCTCTTTGGTCACGGGAATCTGTATAAATTACACGTTAGATCACATAATTATCTCAATGAAATTAACAAATGTATAACTACACGCAATACTTGTATATATAATGTATACCCTTCTTTGCGTGTGAGAATATTCTATTCGATAATGAAGTAACTTGGAATTGTTTTAGCAGTTTTTACCTGACTTAATATTTGCGAACTCAACCAATACATATTGGTTTCGATCTGTGACCTAGGGAAGTCGTGGATGCGTTTTAAGCGCACGCCGTGTCGTATCATGCTAATGGAGGATCGTAGTCCTGTCAAACAGGCTTTTCCATTCAGCGATATCAAAATGTGACTAGCTTTAATACTTCTGCAATCACAAGACAAAGAACACCAACAATCACACATACTATCGAGCACACACATACATATACATACACATACATAGTAGTGTACATGCAATATCACAGATATATTTAGCAACACATTCTTAGTTTCACCACATTGTCCATTATCACAAACCCATGTATACTATTACAGATCACATCATCGATATATAGTATTCATATTATTATTATCAGGAGTAAGATAATATAGGTAATCCTATATTATCTTACTCCTGATATTATTACTATTATTATTCCATTATTTAGATCCATACACGTCAGAGTGTGGCTTCAATAAACACTAAAACTTGTTAAAAATGTTACATCTACGAACTTTATCAGTTTAATGCACACTAGTACACTACTGTCCATGACAACACATGAAATAGCAATGGATAGACTAAATACTTGAAAACAAATCAGAAACTAGGATACCTATTACTACGAAGGGTTTTGCTCTCACCTATGTACATATCCGAGATGGTGTAGGTAATCTAGACCTTTAAGAACATCACGCAGAATCAGCGAGATCGCTAGCTCGTGGAGACCGTTATGAAAGTGCGCATGTATCAGGTCCTGTACAGAACCTTAAAAACAACAGAGAAACACTTAGAGTTAGAAACAACAGAGCAAACTTCGAACAACAACAGAGCGAAACTAGGCTACATGACTGCATTGTTTGCATTGGTCAGCGAATTCCATTTTTTCCATTTTTTTCCCTGCATTTTATGCACAACATGGTTGGTCACAGAATTTCGACTTTCCCCATTTTATTTCATGCATTTTACGCACAACATGGTTGGTGAACCTACACGAGTCAATAGATATTTTCATGTAAAAAAGTAGTCAGCGATAAATGCAATATTATCAAGAGCTAATAAACACCTAGAGTGTACAACGGAAAAACGG